TCGCTGTTGGACTTTCATTTACCACAAGTTGTTAGGACTCCAGTTTCACTTCTTACCAGAAAGAGGAGGCAGGCATATATTTAGACTTTCTTGGGAAGCAGCTGCAAAATGAAGTGGGAGTGCGTGCGTGCGCTTGGTCTCACAGAACCACACGCAGACGCTGCTGGCTTTAGAGCAACTTCATAAACCTGAGCAGAAAGGACAGTGCACCAAGGCCTCCTGCAGGTTACCGTGTCACTGAAGGGGCGGCATTACTCATTTCAACATCTTAATATCCTTATCATTGAAACAGATTGGTTGTTCAGCGCTGACTCACTCGAAAGATTATCGCCTTCTGAACCACCAGCTCATTTCTTGAAGCACTCTAAGGGCCTAAGTGTCTACTTTATGGCACTTCAAACCTTATCTTCATGGTTTTATGCCTTCCATGGGAACATAGAGGCAACACTACCTATCTGCTATTCTGATTTGATAGGGTAGTGGAACACTGGAATGGGTTGCCCAGAGAGGTAGGGGAGGCCCCATCCCTGGAAACATTCAAGACCAGGTTGGATGGGGCTGTGAGCAACCTGATCTGGTTAAAGGTGTCCCTGCTCACTGCAGGGGGGTTGGACTAGATGACTTCTAAAGGTCCCTTCCAACCCAAAACATTCTATGATTCTACAAAATTACTTGCTACATCTATACATAAAGTGGGGAATCCAACTTACCGAACATCAGCCATTTAGAAGTTAGTCAGCCCATCTAAGACAGTTGATCTAGTCCTACAAGAAGCGCTGGAAGGGGAGGGACACTCCACAACATGATCCTCTCACCCTTCTTAGGGACCTGATGGCTTGGGATGGCTTATCCCCAGGGGTGCTTCTTTCTCTGCTGGAGCCTGGGCAACTGCCTTGCACTAGATGCCATCTAAATGGCTAATGTTAGATGAGCTGAATCCCATGCAGTGTGCTAGCTAGTGGAAAATCATGCCCCTGCTTTTGCCTCAAGGTTTCTCCTTCACAGACCTTTCCCTTGTTAGCTGACAAAAGACTAAGAAATCGGGGTTTGCAGCAATCTGGCTGTGAGGCAGATAAAATCAGTAGTCAAACAAAAGCAGCTAAGATAGCCAAGACTGCCTGAAAAGTTAAATGCATGCTCTTCTCGTACAGATGAATGCATTTAAAATAACTTTAGTTTCCCCATTCTCACAGGGCAGCCCATTAATCTTTTGGTAACATTCATCATCATGGGCAGGCAACGTACCAGGAAATCCTCTCCTGGAGGTGCTCCTCTGCTCTCTCTCATTGCTGTATCACCTGGCCAATTTGCAGTCCTGTGAGTTTTTAACACCCCAAGGGGCTCTCAGAGTTGGCAGCGCAGCACTATTCCGTATTATTTGCAAAAAGGTAACACAAAGATGTGCAACAGCTTTCTCTTCGGGCGATCCATAGTAGATCAGGAGGGTAGTGAATGTTAGGCATCCAGTGTTTCTCAGCTGGGCACCCATCTTATTTTTACGCACCTGGTATAGGATTTCTGTTTTGACATGTAGGCATTTCCAGTGCATGGCATCGACATCTGAGTCGGTTATTCTACGTTACCCCCACCAAACAGATGAGGACACATATTTCTCATTCTAGCAATAAAGAGGTGATGCTAGACCTATTTAATCCACTGACTGTGAAGAAAGCCTAGGGAATTAGAGAAGATGTAGATACCTATACCATAAACTGCTAAAGCTAGAGGTGACATGAATCCCATCTCAGTAAACTAGTTCTTCTAAAGGATGAGGCCAAACTCCCTAAGCAGCCAGTAGAAATAAGTGATTCTGAGTCTGTTCAGACAAATACAGATTATGTGTCTAAGCCTTCGCTTTGGAGGCTTTCCCTCTATATACATAATGGAAAATGGAAGAGGTCCTTTCAGGGAATTTCTTCACTAGGCACTTACATTTCACTTGTTTAGATGAATTGGATCCTAGCCAAGGTTTTCTGAGTCCTGGATTAACTTCCCTAACTGGTGAAATAAGTTTTCTTCTGAGCTAGAAGCCTACCTTGAACAGTCCATCTTTGCATGTGGAAGTACGCTATAGTTACCTACCCATCTTCTGTAGATTAGTTGTACTGGAGGATGCTAAATGACCATGCACAGGTCAGTCGTTATGTTTAGGGAAGGTCACTGTATTTGTCTGAGCACCTTGTCTTCAACATCTCTGTTCTCTGCAGGCATCCATCCAACCCCATTTAGCCACAGCTCTGTCAAGATGCAGATCTAACACCCCCAGGAATGAGTGTGCACCTGCATGCTCCAGTTAAGAAGACTCTCCTTCTGCTGGCGCTGTACAAAAAAGTGAAAAAAGGAAGCACTAGAGTTGTGATGAGTTGCAACATTCAGATAAAACAAAAAAAATTAGAGAGGAAGGAAATAAATGGAATCATCCTGTTGTATATGATAAGCAACTGTAGTATCTTGCTCCATGCTTCATTGTGCTTAGTACTTCCATATTCCTGGGCTTTCTCAAACATGCCCTGGCAATTTTTTCCATGGAGAAGAAAATATTGACCCAAGTCGACCCTGCTTTGAGCAGGGGTTTGGACTAGAGGGTGTCCAGAGGTCCCTTCTAACCTCAACGATTCTGCGATTCTGCAATTTTCATCAGCAGTTTGGGTCTCTGGATGTTGAGCTGTTGAGTCAGATCCTGTCCAGACAAGCAGTTGCTCTGGGTGCGCAGACTGTGCAATGTCAGCCACCAATCTGAGCAGTGCAGCAGCTTCTACACGTCCTGGCTATGCCAGGACCCCTGCACGGGTGCCCAGACACCCATGTGGAATCTCTTAGATAGAAGTATGGGAGCCTGATCAAGCTGAGCAAGATGTGTTTAAGAGGCTGCATGGGGTAAATAAATTTTAAAGGGAGGATTAGTGGTATGACAAAGCTGTGGCTTCTGATAGGGAAGCCATGCTGTTTGGAAAGTTTTCATCTAAAAGAAGAGCCTTTGGTGACCATATTTTTCTCTCTACTTTTGTCTATATTAGTTACTACTCCTTGTATTTTAACCCCAATTACTCTTTAACCATATAAGAATCATTTGTGACCATTATTTGTCACAGTGCTAAACCAGATTACTCAAGGTTTGTGGAGCTTCCTCTGCTCTCCCATGTATGGAAAAACATTACACTCAATTTGGTTTGTTTGGCCAGTGTGGACAGGGATTAGCCATGCTATATATGGACCATAAACACTGTTCTGGTTAACACTACGGTTGAGCCAAACCTGAACCTTTCATCTCACCCTTTGCAAACTTTGGTGGTTTGGATGGAAATGGAACCTGTATTTGAACTGTGCTTTATTTTTGTTTTTGTTTTGAAAAACCAAAGTCCTGTCAATAACACTTTGGAAACCCAACATCCAGCATCCTCAGCCCACCTCCAGTGAACAGGAATCGAGTGCCTGTGTAGGCAGGGACTTCGTGTTGGGAAGAAAGCCAATACACAAAGGAAGGAAACTGTTTCAAGGAACCTGCAGTAACTTTCCATAAAAATCTCAGGGATATAAGGGCATGCTGAATTTTGTGTCATAATCCCCTCCAACCAACATGTGTGCTTGTTTAGGGAAAACATGGTGGTCCCATGTGGAACAAAGATGGACTTTTGTAGGCTGCATATCCAATTGGTTTGGTCTTAGAAATTACAGGGAAAAGCCTTCATTTGCTTTTGACTCTCAGTTTCAGTTTGCTATCTGGAATACCAAACCAGCTGGTAATGAAAACAGATTTCTCACATCAGATTTTTTAGATGCCAGAAATAATAATAGTGTAGTGTTAACACCTCAGTACTTGGCTTTCTCTAGGTTGTCTTAACCTAGATAAATCTATTAATTTGTGTCTTTGTATCCACAGCAGTGCCTTAAAATTTGCGCTTAATTGCAGCAGAAGTAGTTTTAAAATCCATCTGTCTAACACTGACCGTTCCTGTAGCATCTCACCACCTTCTTTATAATGTGTTCCCAATGCTGAAATAAAGATCTGTGGCATGGTATAGTAATTCCACTTATGCAGATCTTTGAGGCTGTTGAAAGGCCAACATTTCCTATTATACTTCTGGCTTCAGAATTACCGTAACAATAGGTTCATCCTTACCCTACAGTATTTACCAACTAGGCAGAGCGGGTAGAGCACCTTGTCCCATAGCATGGCTCTCCCAGTCTTTGCATATTCCCCAGAGACTGCTCTGTCATCCTACACAGTATCTGTTGAACTTGGTCCAAGCAAGCATTTTTCTAATGGCCTTAGTGAACATTGGATGAGGTCCACTCAACTGCTTGCAAGGTGGCATAGGTGTCAAGCCAGGATGCACAGTGTCAACAGTTTCTTTCTCAGTCTCTTCTTTGTTGATTTTCATAGCTGAAGCTGCGAAATCCCAGGCAGGGATCTATGTCTAAGTTTAATTTTGTGAACTCTTCCATGCTTCCACACAAAAAAAAAAAAAAAAAAAATTATTGAGAGTTTAAGCCACTAACTATCTCTTGGTGTTTCTGGTGTTGACCTGTCCATTCAAACCAGAATGCTGAAAACTGGGACCCTCTATGAAGCAGTAATTTACTTCAGCTCTGGCAGCATTCATTCAGCCCTAACACCTCCACGGGAGATCTGAGTCAGTTAGGACATTACCATCGTTCCGTGACTGGTCAGGAAAACACAGCAGGTAATTCACCAGCTAGTGCATATGTATGAGATGTCAACTAGAAAAATGTTAAGGCCTGTCCACAGGCTTTATGAAGAATGCAAGTGGAAGGATAGTTTAGATTTGTGGTGTTAAATTCCATGTTTACCTACAGTAGGCTCTTGTCTTTGAGTATGTCTGTTCTTTTCTAGTTGGCCTACAAGAGAGTATGACTACCAGCTAATGAAATTCTCCCTTGCATCAAAAAGGCCTAGTCCCACTGAAGTGACAGCAAGCAACAGTCCATGTATGTAAGTACATGTGTGAATCAAGGCTCATGATGTGTCTTCCTTGCAGACTCAGACCCATGCACTCCTGATGCTCCACCTGCTGCCACTTCACCTCCAACTTCTGAAGAACCTGGACCTTTCACAGCTCCAGCATCACCCTCCTCTTCCTCTGATACTGGTACTGCATCATTTTCACCACCATTACCTGCCTGTGTTACAGCCTTACATCCCAAACCGCCTCCTATTCCACCATCAACATCAGCTTCTGCTGCCACTGTTCACCCTGGACTCCTTTCTCTTCCTGCACCACCCACCTCTGCTCCAACCCTGCACCCTGGACTTTATTTGCCAGTAGTCCCAGCTGGCAGTGCCACCCACCTCATCAACTGGCTGCCCTTCCTCACTTCCGCAACACTCACCACCATTCGAGGGAAGGAGGAAGACCAGCCACCCATAAGAATGGGCTCCCTGGAAGGCATGAAGCGCTGCACCAGCACACCTCCACACCCTTCCCGTGATGGAAATCCCCAGGCAGTGCCCATGGGAGACAGGGCTCCAGAGGCTGCTTCCTCACCACCAGCTGCCCACACCATGCCCCCAAGCTCCGAGCAGGCATCGGCGAACGTGAGCGACATCCTGGCAGAGCTGCGGACGATGAACAGCCATCTCTCCGTCATCGCCCGAGCCCTGACACAGCTGGTGTCGTCACTGGCACCGCAGCAGGACGCGCATGGCACCCCACCTCCTTAGTGCCAGGCTCTGCACCAGCTCACCCTGCTCAGAGGGGCTGGCGCTGGCCGGGGACAGCCCACGGTGGAGGTAGGGAGGAGGAAAGGGACCCTACCCAAACCTGCCCCTACCATCTGTGCCAGTCCGCTGTGCTCTCTGCCACTGACCACGTCTCCCCAGTGGGTTTTTCTGCTTGTTTGTTTATTTCGTCCTTGTAAATGGCTGCATATATTAAAAAATAGTTTTGTGGTCTTGTTAATAAAATTGTTTATATTTCTTGCATTCCTTTCGGATGTGCTCGCTCCCCTCCTCTCACCCATTAACCACACAAGCACTGGTTGGAATTGGTGAGGTCTTGCACAGTGAACATGGAGAATCTGAAGTGGTGAGAAGTCACCCACAATAAAATGCTCAGGGAGGTGACAAAACCCTCCTGAGCAACGTGGGGGGGACACAGACAGGAAGGAACACAATAAAACTCTGAAATTTTTTCCTATTTCTCTCCATCCACGCTGCATGGCATGGCTCTGCTGAAGTTGGAGCGCTTCCCAGCACACTAAATCTCAGGGGTAATTGCAGTTACTGGCACAGGTAAGGGCCGTGATAAATTGTTCAAAATACAGTTCAGGGTAGGTGTCTAAGGAGTACTTGGTCTGAACAGCTACAAAACAGCCTCATCAACCTCTTGTCCTCTGAGAGAGCGTGAACCAAAGGCAGCGCAGCGCTTAGCTGGAGCGTATCTGATTTATTTGCCAGTGGTGCCTGGGGTTCTTCAAGGGCATACATGGGCCAACCTAATTTACAGCAATTAGCCAGGCACACGCGGATAGATCCCGACATTTCACCATCCTTGTCCTATTGCCAAGCTGCAGTGGCTCGCCTAAAGGTGTCATTGAAGGCATGAAACCTCAAACAATCCTCTTTGAGGATGGGGAAAGCGCTCTTGGGCATGAATCCAGGACTGTTCCCCCCCCGCCGCCCCCCGAGATTTGTGACCTGAAGAGCAGCTGGTGAGGTACCCTTGGTGGCCTGGAAGAGACACCAGAGCTGGGAGCTGAAAGTTGGGATGTGCTTGGTGCTCTGGAAGAGCCCCAGGGAAGAGGACTAGCAGCTCTTGCAGAGCCATTTTGTGCATCTCCAGCCACAGTCTGCCCATAGAGCAAATAACCATCCGTCAAAATAAGATGTTTTCCCAAAGGTGGGCCAAGCATGGGGCCAGCGGAGGCTGAGCCAGGTTACGTGGCTGCTCTGTCTTTCATCTCAATGAATTATAATGAAAGAAATGCTCATGGCAAACAAGAGGAAAGAAGAGCCCCTGTGAAGTTTGGTATGATCTTGCCTTAATTTAGCCATGCAGCCGTCAGATATCAGGATCTGAGGCCATCTCTAGGAAAAACCCAGACAAACAGACAGATTGCTAGATAAGATTAAAGAGGAAGTATTCTGTCTATTTGCAAATAGATGTTACAGATGAGCCTAAGCCACAAAGATCGAATGAATATACAAACTTCCCTAAAGCTCAGGTGTATTTGAATTTGAGGTTTTGGTTACTGTATATATATTTATATTTAAACTTATCCATATTTTTGAGTCTGTACCTGAAAGACAAAGCAACTGCCCTGTTCGATCATGTGTTTTGGGTTGTGTTTTTTTTCCTAGGCCTGATCAGGCTCTGATGTGTTTAGCAAAAAAGGTGACAAGAAAGACATTTCATAGCTGGCTTTCACTACCTTTTAATTTTGTGCTTTTCAACAAACAGAGATAAATGAAGGGTCTTAAAAACATTTTGGCTTTTGATTTGGCTATTGCAGTTTCCATAGACTAAAAAAGCAAAAGTTTATCACTTTTCCTCCTTTCATTAGGAAATATAGGACAGGAAAGAAAGGGGAAAGCTCTATGGTTAAAAAAAATAAAAGGAATGTTTTTCATTTTTACCCGTCTTTCCCTCTTCAATTTAGCATGGTAGTAAATAAATAGCATATTCTCCCACTCTCCATAGTTTTAGTTGATTTATCCTGTTTGTTTTGAATACTACCTTTTTATGGCCTAATATTGATTAAAGTCTCAGTGGGGCTTAGCAAGACACACAGCCCTATTCCCCTGTACAGATGACTTCAGAAAATCCTACTTGTGCAGCTGCTGGTGCTTTATCAGCCAAGGTTGGAGCTGGTTTCATTTAGGTGTCTAAGGGATTTGAGAACAGTTTACATGGCATGCAAATCCAGAAAAAAACCTGAAGAAGTTGCCTATAGCATTAGATATTCAGCTGCAAAGGCAATGCTCTTCTTTCTCAAAGATGCCACAAATGCAATCTGGCTTGCAGGGAGGGAAAAGCACTCTTCCTGAGCCTCTTCCTAAAGGAACGAGATTTCTGCAATCCCATGGCCAAAGGTATGAGATGCTAAACACCCTTGCAGTCTAGACTCTGAGCTGTCTGCTCCTGCGGCATCCTGACAACAAGGCAGGACCAGAGCCTGTAGCCAGAAGTAGCAACTTTCAGATTGACTTGGTAACCACTGCTGGCTCTCACACGGGCGCAGCAACCGGCTCCAGAGCCGCCAAGGCAGACAGAGGCTGTCTGTGGGTAGGGTCCGGCCGACGTGAACACCTCCATTCCGAGTGACCGGAGCCAGGCTGAGCCCAGCCAAGGATCTGCTAATGCTGCGACCACAGGATCCACTTCTGCAAATCCTCATGCAGGGTTTGTGCACAGCCCGTGCTGAGCTCTGTTAGCAGCACCTGAGCCAGCTGGTTAAAACCCAGCTCAGGTACGTCTGGGCAGCCCCACCATGGCACAGGAGGGCTTCCCTGCTATGCAAAGAGGGCACCTGCCCGTGGGCATCTCATTCAATAATGTGCATTATTCTCTACTCAGTGCATTCAATAGACTCATGTCCCTTAGGAATTGTTTTACTTGTTCAACGTAATTGAACCACTTAAGCACGGCAAGAAACGAGTGGCTGCCCTGACTGCATCGCTTGGATGGCAAGAAGGCTGCCTCTGTCTCAGGTTTTGTTTGCTCTTCTTGGCTTTCATCTGCAACCATCCAAATTTGGCTTGGCGCTGCCAGCCCGGCTGCCGCTTTCTGATTGCTTAGCAGCATTACTCACATTGCTGAGCTGCTGCTGCACACGTGGTACCCTGCCAGGCAAAAGCTGGCATGCAGCTCACAATCAAAAGTCTCCGAAAGGGTCTGAAGCTGGCAGCAAGAGCAGCTGAAGAAGGACAGAAACCCCGGTGCAGCTGGCACTGTCCTTGCACCGTGTCCCCACACTGTGTCCCCGCAGCCTCCCAGCACCTGTGGAGATGGCATGTCCAGGCTACTTCAATGCGACAGAGCCTCCTAACCCATGGCAAACAGTTCAGCAGACATTCTTCTCTAAATTATTCATTTTGATTCAGCTCAGAGAGCAAGGGGCTGAAAGTTATAATGTCTGGGTGCATGTTCAAAGCCCTGCGTAGAGATAACCTCATAGGCTCACACTCCAGTTGCTGTTAAATTATTAAAAATGCCCTGTTGACCTTCTCTCTTGGAACATCTTCAGTCTCTCCTTCTTCCTCCTCTTCTACAGACTTGTTATTTGTGAAGGCAGCAACTGATAGGGCAAGATTCATTTTATAATTGATAGATGCCTCTTTGGATTTCAACTAAAAAAATCTCAAACACTCCAGATGAGCCAAACTCAAAGGCTAGAGTCACCACGGGTGATCATCACACCCCCCTTCAGGCTCCACCATCAAAATGCTAAACACACCGATCTCATGTTTCGCAGCTGCTTTATAAACAAATATTTCAAGTCACCACACCTTAATTATCTAAAAGTTGGTTTTGTAGGTTCCTCTGCAACCATGGGGAGCCAAGGGCTTTTGGCATGCAATTGATCCTAGCCTAAGAAAGGTATTTAAAATAAGTAGGAAGGCAGTTGACCTCTGGCAGCATCCATCCCTCTCTTCTGAATATAGACAACTAGTTTAAGCCAGATGCTTAACTTCTAGATGGCTGGAGGTAAATGAAACAAATCCTCTGGTAACCACAGTTCATTTCAAACTGGTGAAGCATCAAGATATCACATTTATTTGAGCCGTGATAGATGTGTGAGGAGCTGGAAGAGGGGAAGTGGGAGCTCAGGAGAATGGGACGGACAGTAAAACTGGAACCCCCTGCATAATATCCAGCTCCAGCCCCAGGCCAGGAGTTATCCTGCACCAGGAGAGCACCAGGTCATTCCCTTCTCCCAGAGATTTAACTCCTCAGGATGTGGAACTGGAAGCTAAACAACTTCATGGGATTTGAGTGATGTACTCAGTGTCTGCTACTCCAGC